AGGACTTTGCACACTCTCCTCCCAGCCCAGTCACAGCAGCTCCCATTGGCCATTTCCAAGTCAATAGGATCTGCTATGATGGGGTTGAGGGTGGGGCGGCATGCAAAGTCTTCCCTCCCCCATCCCATGTAGGATTGGGCAAAGGCTGAGACCAGCAGACAGGCCATATCTTGTCCATCTTAAGACCTAAGTAAAGGAAGTGTATTTTTTTTCTGTTTGTGTTCGTGATTCATTTGACACTTTGTGTATAGTTAGTTTCACTCTATTCCCCGCATAGTCAATTGGCTTCCCTTGCTTATGGAAAAACAGCATCGGGGATGAAATGTTTCTAACATAGTCATCATTTTTTGTGGTTTTACAATCACATTCGGAGGGATAGAAATATTACGCCTGAAACTACTTTATTCCATTTAAACTTACTAGACTTTAAGTTGATGGTGGTCTTAATGCTTGATATAAGAAGATGCACTAATCTGGAAATTTGTCTAATACGTGGCTGTAATTAATTGGATTAATTAACATTAGTTTTGGCAAGTTAATTCATGAAGTATAAAACAAGTTTGTTTTTAAACTATTTTTAATGTTCGATTTAGCGTAACTAAAATATTTGTTTAGCACAGTTGACCCATTGTATAGTAATACTATGTAATGACAAACAAAAACAACATTGCAACCTTAACAATGAGTTTGTAAAGTCAAGCACTCCAAAGTTAGGAAAAAGCCAGAATTAAGGTTGTCTATGCATCCTAGTACCAACCAATCCTATTTTCCACCCTGAGGTTTGCAAAGTTCCAATCTCCCCACTGACTTCCAGTTTTCCTCCATGTCCCCACAGCCAAACATAATTTCCTTGAGCAGTCAGTCCCAGTCTCCATCCAACTCCTCATACGGTCTCAGTGTTCCCCACACACATTTTATCCCCTATTGGTTCCCATTCATTCTCCTTTCCCTGGATTCTGAGCTAATTTCTTTCTTTCTCCAGTGCCAGTCTTACCAAACTCCGTATCCTAAACTAGTCCTTTTCCTGTCCTTGGTCTAGTTTTTGTTCCGTATGCATTTGAAGCAGATGGCCTTTTCCACCCAGCTGCCTGGGTGCTAGATGGGGGAGGAAATCACTGAGAGACTTGGAGAGAAGTACTCTCTTGTTTTCAGTTCCTGTACCTCTCCTCACCTCACCTGATCCCAGCTACAGAGCAAGTTCTAATTGCAGAGCGTTCTTCCCCCCCCCCCCCCCCCCGGCCATATTTGGGAAGTGAAGGGGGGGTTTACAAGGACAGGAAAAAGGCATGTCCCTTATGCAATGGGCACGCCTTTGCAATTTCAAATCTCTTCCCCAAAGTATGGGAGCATTAGAGTATTTCAAAGAACTTGTCAGTGTTTTTTTTAATGTTGACAAAAGTGTATGTTTTTCTTAGCTTTGTTCTCTCAAATAGCTACAATTCAGCATGAAATTTTCCGAAAACTATCATACTGAGACAGTTACCCAGAATGGAAAATTCAGCCCAAATGGTTAAAGTTGGACAAAGTTACAAGGAGCTGAAAACAGGGTCTTATAATGGGTATGTCAGACAGTTTTAATCATAGGCAGTGGTACCTGCCCCTACCTAGAATATAACTTCAAGTGTGGATGAGGGGACGCAAACATACTATACCAATGATGAATCACATTACAGGATTTGGTAATATCTTAGGTTAATTATTTATTAATGTAGAATGTAACAATGCTCGGGCTTTCTTGAGAGGAAAAGAGCTTGCAATTTATAATACAGAACACTCAAGAGATTTTTCTGTTTTAATAATCACAGATTGGAGAAGCCATCAGAGGATTGATATGAAAATCTCAACTGCCCAAGTGGGGGAGTTATGCTGGTTCACGTTTAGCAGTGATGTATGTCCATCTCTGTATTTTCTTCCTTAAGTGACCATTTTACCATCTAGTAGACTGCTTGGATGATCTTGCATTTGTGGTGAATTTACTTTACAAGAGTCATTTTCTCCTCTGTATTGATCATTGCTCTTTTAAAAAAAAAAAAAAAAAAAAAAGAGGATAAGGCTGACAATTTGTATAAAACGTGATTTTTTTTAAAAAAAAGTAATGGTGAACTCAGCTTTTAACTATATTTGAAATTGAAAAAAATACTATATTTTAAATATTCCATCCTCTTACAGCTTTTCATTTTTGAGAAGCTAAAATGAAAAAGGTGTATGTGAAGCAGCCACACCTTATTGCACATCCCTGTTGTCTCTTGATGCATGTGTTGATCTAGCAATGGGCAAAACCCAGCAATGTTGGCTGAGATTTGTTGGTCAGGTTTTGGGTTACCAAAGCCAAAACAATGTAAGGCCTTAAACCAGCAAAGTACTTCATCATGTGTTTAACTTTAAGCATATGCATAATTCCATGTACTTTAATAGGACAATCTGCATACTTAAAATTAAGCATGTGATTAAATACTCTGCTGGATCAGGGCTACACGAATTGGTTTCAGGTCCCAGTTTGTCAAACCCTTAAGATCCAGATACTGGGCTTTGACACATCTCTAACACGCAACTACTTTTTTCCAAGTGTTATGTAACTGTGGGTGGTGCTGGCTGTAGTTGGAGACATTGATAAGGTGGCCAAGGGATGCACTGATTGACTGTATCAGTCTACTGGACAGTCATCTAGAAGGCCAAACCTGAGGAATTTCACATGATTAAATTCAACTTTCTCTGGCAGAAATCCCAAATGAAGGATGCAACTGGCTAGGCTTGCATAGAATATTGATTGTAGGCCACCCTAGGACATAGGGGATTAATGTTCCCTGTTGTAGTTACATATGGGCAGTGGATTTACTAGTCTTCTGAATGTTCAGTCATCTTAATTGAACCATGCCTGCATTTATCTTCCTGCAGATATCCCTGGCTTTTTCTCCTCCGCCCTAGCTCTTTTCTTAATACAAACTGTAATCCAGTGATTCTCCTTTATCATGGGGATGCAGCTGAACTGAAAATACTCATTTTGTTAGCAAATTCCTTTGGTGTATTTTTTGGACTATATGATGTATAGTAAGGAATCGAGGCTGTCAGTCTTTCCAGAAAAAGTACTGATAATGTTTCAGGAATTGGGAGAATATTTGTGTGCTGCTTCTTCACCTTACCCAGCTCATTAAGTCAGTGTGTGTATTTAAGAATTGTAGTGATGGGAATAATTATTGACCTGACTCAGTGAATTTTGAAGGCAAGAGTTATAGAATCAAACCTGAGACAATGAGAACTATCACTGTTTTATGTGAGGCTGCATAACACTAAGATTTTTATTTAACCTTAGTAGGTGTCAAACTAATTGATTAGTGCTCCCAAAATACAGGAAGGAAAGGAAAGGCCAGAATAGAATAACTCTTCTGTTTGTCAGCCACCCACACAGCTCCCTTCAGTTATTGCATCATATGCAGAAATCTACGTTCTGCAATCTATAAAGGGGAGTAGGCAAACGTTTATGGATATGTCTGTTTGTTGCTTATTTAGTGATTAGTCATAGTATCTCAATCTTTGGATAGCCTCTTCAGTATGTTGTGTTACATAGTTATGCAACCGTCCTAAATTAATTTGTGATATTCTCTGTTCCTAATCCATAGTTGCTGGAGAGGAGGGTTTCCCTGTCCATAGATGCAATTTTTTTCAGTAGTTCTTTAGCTACAAATAAAAAGTGCCACATAGAACAGCTATTGTGAGTTGCTATCTGCTGTTCAGAGTTCTTAGACAACTGGAGATATGCCGTTCCAGAAGAGGATTGTAGTTTTGAATATTAAGATCTCAATCCACAATTTTTCAAACAACTCTAAGAACTGTGTGTTTGTCCCATAGTGCATTTCAATTTTAATCACTAAGTCGGGGTGGACAGCAGGGCCTCCTCAGGCCAGATTTGGCCTGCCAAGCAGGTTGTTTTGGCCCATGGAGGCCCTGCCGCTCCCCCGACCCCAGGTCAATAAGGACCTGGGGGCGGGGGAAAGCACACAAAGTTTCCTTTGAAACAAAATACAGGACTATTTAGCACTTTAAAGACTAGGAGCTTCCGTGCACTCCGGCAGGGCGGGAGGAGACTTTGCGCACTCCCCCGCCCCCAAGTCCTGATTGGCTTGGGGACGGGAGGAGTGCACAAAGTTTCCTCTGCCCTACCCCCACCCTGCAAGGCACACATGGCACATAGAAGTGCCGCATGCTCCTGGCAGAACAGGAGGAGGCTTTGCGTGCTCCTCTGCCCCAAGAGCTTGATAGGCCTCGAGGTGGGGGAGCATGAGACGTCTCCTCCCACCGCTAGGGGCATGGGTGCTTGGTGGGAAAGGGGCTACCCCACCCCCAGACCAATCATGGTTTTGGGGGGGGGGGGGGGGAAGCCTGGAAGCATGCTGGCCTGCTTCTTCTGTTTGAGACCCTGCCCTTTCCAGTGCAGCCCGGGGCCACTTCCAAAATTTTTGAAGTGGTCCCTAGCAAAAAATTATTGCCCACCCCTGCACTAAGTAGTAGTAGCCCTGCAAATCTGCGGATATCTGCTTTGTAGCTACATCCGTGGATATCCATTTTTGTAATCACGGATACAGTTTCTATCCACTCAGGAGTTTAAGTGGTTGAGAGTGCTCAAAGATCCCATACAATCTCTCTGTTTCAGAGTTATCTAATACCTTTTATTGCACTTAAGAATACTGTCTTTTTGAATCAGTTGTTCAGGGGGTGGAGGGCCAAGATTCCAAGTCATAATAGTGGAGTTTGTAGACAATGAGCAAACCCAAAAGGTGGGACTTATTTTAAGTACTTAACATGAAAGGAGAAGAAATTAAAACCAATTGTGTGTCGTCGTCCCAGTTTGAGCTACGTCTTTCTCTGGACTAGAACCAGCAATATTTTGCAATAAGAACAAGTCGTAGAGAGGAGGCTTTGAGAAAGTACAGGAGCATAAAAAGGGAGAAGCACTGACATTTTAACACTTTTAATCATTGATTTTTTTTTTTTAAATCTTTTAGAATTGATTGATATCACGTGCACGCTGCTACTACTAAACCCAGACTTCACCACTGCATGGAACGTAAGGTATGTTGCACTTAACAAATGACAACACAAAGAGCTTGGCCAGCTGCCTTAACTCTGAGTCCACCATAAGCTTTGTTTTAAATGGGATTTAACATCTTAACTGCTATGTTGATGAAATGCACTGAGAGAACATCCTTCCTGGTTTTCTTAGTAGCACACTGATCATACTCTTTCCATGCTCTCCCACAAGGGCCAGGGACCGTTTTAAATAAGTCTGAGGGATTTTAAACAAGAAATTGCAGCTTTAGATCTAGGTGGTTTTTAAATGTTCAGACATGGAGATTTTCTCAGTTCAATTGGTTTCTTGCAGTTGGAAAAATCAGCCCATTAAGACTGTATTTGTGGTGAACAGATACAGCAAATATTTTTCTCCTGGCCAATAATGCAGTTATCCAGGTGGTACTATGAATTGATTTTTTTTAAGTGCCATTGATTAAAGAAAAGGGAAATGTGGCAGTCATAGTTAAGGGTTAGCTATCATAAGACAAATGTATTTTTAAGTATTTTAAATGGAAACCAGGATTGAACTCGTTCATTAGCACTATTTGTATACATCTCAGGTGTTGCTATAAGTAATGCTCTCT